ATATATATTTTATAAATGTCTTACCAATTCTGCGTACAGCATTGAAAATAGTTCTAGGTGATCTTGGCTTAATTTATATCAGTATAAAAGAGATCTGAAGACAAACCAAAGATGCTGTTTATATTTATGATCATTCCCATAATTCCTGTTTACCAGAGATTAATATTCTTTGTTTGAAAACTATACAAGGAAAATATTTATGTAGCCATTAATGATTCCTAAATTTTCAGTTTGGTGTAAAAGATCAACTTGAAAAAAATATTTATGACCATTCCCATAAATGCTGTTTTCTTGAAATTAGCAGCATTTAAAGAGATTAATATTCTTTGTTTGAAAAAGATACAAGGAAAATACTTATACAGCCGTTAATGATTCCTAAATTTTCAGTTATATGTTGGTGTAAAAGATCAACTTGAATAAAACATTTTCACTTAAAAAATTTATGCTAAGGCAGAAATATACCAATGTTGTAAGCTTGACTTTGACAAGAGTCAAAGTTCATGATAGTCACATTCATCATTTTGTTAGAAAAAAAGAAAATGGCACAGTTTCACATTCACCGCAATTCGTCACTTTGAAAGATCAAAAAAAAAAGTTGTTTGTAAGATCAAAAAAAGGTTGTTTGTAAGATCAAAAAAGGTTGTTTGTAAGATCAAAAAATGGTTGTTTGTAAGATCAAAAAAAGGTTGTTTGTAAGATCAAAAAAAGGTTGTTTTATCATGGACAGGGGATGGGGATGGCTGAATGGTTAGCAGGTGCGCGCTGTACTATAAAGTCTGTCATTGAGTCAACTGGCGTGGTTTCGATTTAACGGTTTATCAAGCAATGAAACAATTTATTTAAAGAACCCTTAACAGTGTAGGAGGAGCCGCCACTGTCCTTACAGACTGCATGGCAAATGCCCGTATTCATTAGCCCGGTTGATACAGAAAAGTAGGAGGTTAAACCCTATTTCATTCGATTCATTTCTAAACCTGAACTGCCAATCAGACAATTTCAGATTTAGCTCTTCTCAATCACCGAGTTGTCGATTGAGGACAGACGAAAATATCAATGCAAACGACAGCTTGGTTATTCCTCCAATCTAGTTCACTGTTAATTAAAAAAAAGTAGAAACAAGTAATTAACTAACCCAATAAACGCAACTGTTGCTAAAATAAAAGTTGAGTTCATATCGAAAATACATTAAAGGATTGTTTTAATAAATCAACTTAAATGTTGACCAATATTTCGAGGTTTAAAACGGTTATATATTTTTGATTTGTGTTCTTAAAAAATAGTTTAACCACCTACCATCCCATTCGTTTTCTGACAAACTGAATTTTTGATTATTGGTTATTGGAGGCTAGTCCAGCGTCTGCTTTAAATTCAAACACTTTTGAAAGGTTAACCGTTTTCTTTGAATATTATAAGTGGATACAAATAGTTCTTTTTAATAGATTTCTAAATTTACCCGAAACTACCATGAATTGACATTCGCAATAAACAAAATAAACTTAAAACACAAATAGGTAAGTAATTACATTCATCAAACTGTGTTTATTAAAAACGCAATTTACTAATAATTTTGAGTGAATTATTCTGAAGACAACTTAAAAACGCTCCCAGTGCATTAAGAAAACCGTCATTTCATTCTCCTTTAATCAATGAACTATTCTTTTTAGGTTGTTGCAAATTCGGAAGAAAGACATGCCACGTTATGCTATTTAGAAGACAGCATGCCAACACCATATTCGCCACGTAACAGACAAACTGAAAATAAAAAACCCGATAAAGTGGCGAATGCCGACATTCGTCATTTTGCAAGAACTCTATGGTGCAAACATTTTAATCTGTCACTTGATGACCTGGCGCCTGGTACGTTCGGGCATTTTTATGCGCGAACTCTTAGGGGTTTTTTTTGCTGGCATACGCACAGGTACTATTTCTTTTTCTTTTAACAAGTACCCAAATCGGGGATTTCGTGCGGAGGTAGTTCGGAGGTAAACAGTCTGTGAAGTACAACACTTGCCACTGTAGCTGTGTATCGCTAATTATAAACCGAATGTGTGAAGACAGTTCATACATATCACTCAAAAATTTTTCAGTACAAACTCAGTTGATTCACGCTCGATTTGCTACTAAACAAACCCATCGGTTTATTTTCTCAACAGTGTGACCCGAAGTGACCGCGGATTTATTGACCTTGTATGAACTTATCCATAGCTATATCCTTACACCGAGAGAAATTATCTAGTCTCGGTGAAAAGAACCATGGTCATCTGGTAGAAAATTACTTTTGTATTTTTTGGAACGGAAAACAGTGTTTTTAGAAGCAAACTAACCTGCCGCACATGAGGAAGTCATTATACTAATAATAAAAGGCGAGACCTCTTTTTGCGGCGCAGGCTTATCACTGAGTAGTAAACCGTCCACAAACAATAATATAGGAAGCCTAGTGACCAGTGTAGTACTGTAAGTAGGCTATAGACTATAGTCGAGATTACTCGCTTTCAGTTTACTCTGTTTTTGCGATAACCAATTATGTGAGAAATACCATACTGACATTCGGTTTTTAAAAGTTGTACGCGAACTAAATGCGTTTGTTAGATACTGACACAGCAGCCCCGAGTCGAACAATCGCCGCCCGAGCTGTCTTCGTCAGCTAGTTTCACAATATCGTGCAATAGGTGTATTAATGTGATTTTTAGGTTTAACCCCGCAAACAATGCCAAAATAGTGTTTTCACTGCTTACAGAAAACTGAAATTTAAAAAAAAATTTTTTTATGAGGGTGACCCTCCCACACACTCCCTATCGAGCTGCCGCTCGGTCTGCGCAGCCTCATGCCTGGCACATACTGTCAACATTGTATATTTTTCCGTTTCCGCCCTCCCCCCCCCCCCACAATATATATTTCACGGCTACGTTGCGACGGTACCAGCATACCCAGTTGTTGACACCCATTACATCATTCCTGTCTAACAAATCATAAAGCTGTGGTGTTACGGTGGCGGCATAGTATTTCACCGTAACACCACAGCCACTCTAACCATTCATAATACATCTAACTATCCCTTTACAGCACTTCACTCCCTACACATTTCCCCTCGTCCTACTTTCCCAAACGTCAACAACACATCTCATACATCCAGTTCGCTGATTAACCCTTGTACCACGTCTACTGGATGACCTATTAAATGGGTGTGTCAAGTGGAGGCTTCTAATAAACATCTGTCATTCACCAGACCATGATCGATTTCCCTTATTGACCAATCTTCTCAATGACGTAACTCTTGTAAAACAACACCAATCGGTCAATCTTAACTGCGATGCTGTCCAATCAGAGAAGTGTCTAAACACGATGGCGCAAAAGATCAGACGTAACACATATGCAAATCCCTTGGAGTCATCTTGACTTTTCAAACAGCATATATAGGGGTCACCTTCAATTCACTGCTATAAAACAAACTGTTAAATGAACGGTCTAGGGAATACAATGAGATTATTGGACTTTTAGGTCTCGTCGACACGTTGAAACAAACTCATATAAATTACGCGTACATCAACGTGTAGAGGAATAGATTTGTTGGTTTTCGTTTCATCCGAATTATTAGGCACACCTCCTTGTCAGTCCTGCTACTATCTGTAAAGGTAGTTTTCCAAGTTCTTAGTAATACAGGGGCATGTCAGTCGACCGTACTGTTGGGCAGACAAGGAAGGTGTGAATAGTTGTTCGCATGGGACAACACGTAGGCCTACTCGTAAAAGAATCCCTAATAGTTGGAAATCGAGGAGTATCCTACCACGCATGGCACAAGTAACCATAAAAATAAACCTACCACATTTCTGTCCCAAAATCAAAATGGCCGAAATATTGTGTTAATCCAAGCCCCATTCCATTCTTTTTTATTCGTGTAATTCATAACTAAAGCAGTCGTTAAATGAAATAGGCTTTATCGTCCTATTTTTCTGTACCGACTGAGCTAATGAAGACGGGCATAGGCCATACAGAGTACTATTGGGAAAATTATACCTGAACAGTGGCGACACCGCATACTCTTATATTGAATTCCAACTGGCAAGGGTTCATTTACGTACAGTTTAATGTGGATATGCATTTTGAAATTGATGCTTTTCAACCTAATCACCTAAAATATAATCCTGTATAAGCGCTTCCGGTTGTTCATCTAGTCAGTTTTACATTTAAAGACGCATCTGTACGATGTAGATAAAGATCTGGTCGTTCTAGCTATAAAAGTTTAAGAATAAATAATGAAAAATAATAATATATTAAAAGTTCCAGGCAAATTACTTTATTCTGGACGAAGTTATGAATATTTGAGTGTTGACAAGAATAGCCTAAATTGTGTCTGAAGATTGCCGATTGACAGTTCATGTTTTCGATTGTCAAGTACCGTTGCTATGATAATAAACGAAGTCTCCATTTTCAGTCCTTCAATCAGCTGTCACCGTGAGTGTCGCCACATTATTTTTTAATGTAGATATGGCGGGCATTGTTTAATCCACTCAATACCATCCGATAGTCTAGAGAGGAGGGGAATGTGGGCTTGTCTGTGGTTAAATGTCTAAATAATAATATATAAAAAGTGAAGCCAGAAAATACAACCTGCAATATGTAGATTTAGCTCTTGCATTATTCATCTTCAGTTTTTCTGATAATTGTGAAATGAAATGAAATGGGGTTTAACGTCCTACTGTTCAGCTCCTACTGGGCTAATAAAGACGGGCATAACCATGCAGTGTGCTATGAGGAAAATTTTGCCCGGACAGCGGCGCTATGACCTACTCTTATTTCGAATTCCAATTGTCAAGGGTTCTTTTACGCGCACGCAAATATGTACACGGGACCTCGTTTTTTGTCCCATTCGAACGACTATACGTTGTCCCTTGTTGGGCCCTCCGTCCTACACTACTGAACACGGTACCACCAGATTAGGGAGCCAACATCCTATCAACTGAGCCACTGATAAAATTGTAGGTGTGTACATTTTCAGGTAATAATACAAACAACGCCTCTGTATCAGTAGCTGGTTTGGTGCCATCTATACAATCTTCACAAAAATATCTTCAGTAAGTTCACGTTTTATATCCCTCTTTGATAATTGGGTCATTATAAAGGGTTTAATTAGGTTGTTCTGGTCGATGGTGCAAGCTCGATACGATTCATTTTTTGTTTCTATATAGATTAAGTTTACTAGCTTTAGATTTATTTTTAGGTTACTGTGTCGACAAGGGAACACAAATTAGCTTATATCTGAACACTGGCTTTATCTATGAACATGATGCTGCTACCCATCAAATATGTCACAACTACAATCAAATACACAATTTTATTTTTAACCGAAATCAAAGAGGCTTAATCATTTAAATGGTTTTGTGATTTTTTATCGAAGATTCCCCCTGTTCTCCGGTTTCCTCTCATCCCTCCGATAACCACCAGCCAAGTCTGTGAACTAATGAAGGTTATGTTAGAATCTTTTGAGCAGGACAGGGCAGCCTTTGAGGGCATTTTACAAAAGCCGGGCTTTTTCACAATATATCCATCGCTAACTTTAATATTTGCCTAAACTGTTGCATTATTAAAAATCATATTTTATCATTATTCAGTAAACATATCGAAGACATAATATTCCCTTTAAAATTTAGTCTGGGTATATAAAGGGAAACAACTCTTGTTCTCGGGGCAGACGATAAGAAGCGTTTCAGGTGCATACGTGCAGTACGCTAAGAAAAATGTCATAGATTGATGAACAATTTGATTATTTCAGTGAAAATATGTTAGATTTGTCGTCAGGACTGGATGATACAGGACAAATACAACCTTATTTAGCAGGATGTCTTCTGTTGTCATGGATACTAGTTGGTGTAGCTGTTTATTGGGGACACAATTCTTTGGGAAAGGTACTACTATCAATTTGGTTTCACAGTGGTTGAGAAAACAATTCCCTATATTATAACATTTGTAAACCCATTCGAACATTAGAAAAATAGTAGACTAATTCACATGTTGGATAGAATCTGGCGACATTGACAAATGACCTTGGAAGATTCGCGTTACTCATAAATGGCACGCGTATCATAAAGAAGTAAACGCAAAAACAATATTCAGTTTTCCAAAAAATGCAAGTTTCTGCATATGAAGCCTACCATACCTAATAAAACTCAATGCAAATTTTAGTAGTTGGGGTTGTATTGAAATTGGTAGGTTATCATTTTTGATCCTAGCGTACGCCTGTGTTTTCCAACAGTGATATTAAACAAATCTTGGAGAACTCATGGAGAATTCTAAAGTGCCAATTTTATCAGATATTTAAAGGTAAAAACAATGCATAGGCCTACTTTATTTGTTAAAAATTGTATAAAGAGTCACAGTCCATATTTAATGTCTTTCAGTCCATTTATCTTAATACCTCTTGTGATTTTTCAGTCTCTTTTAGCTGTATTGGCACCATAGGCGTACGAGCTGGGGGGGGGGGGCTGGGGGCGGCTGCCCTCCCATTTTGGGCACCAAATGCTGGGAAAATTTGGGCACACAATTGTATTTTGTAAAAGTTGTATAAAAAAAGATATTGTGTTCTTGAATGTGTCCAATTTAACAGCGAATTTATTATTATTATGTAACATACTAAGAACCTAACTACATTTTTTGGGCACCAACCACCACCGCCCCCCCCAGTCAAAAATTTCCCCGTACGCCTATGATTGGCACAATATTTCACACATTTTTTCTAAGCCTTAAAATATTTTCAGTATTGTAGGCCTATTGGGTTAGAAGGGAATGTAAACATATAAAGAATTTAACCAAATAAAGATTATACAATTTAAAGTTTAAGATTAGGTGTAAACCTTTTTGATGGAGACCATGAGACATTAATCAAAATGGTGGCTACCTTTTAAGCCATATCTGGTTATTTTTGTGTTGTTTTCAGATTGCCTTTGTTACAGGAACATTACCTTATGTATTATTATTAGCCATATTTGTTGGAACTATAACTTTACCAGGAGCTGTGAATGGTATCAAGATGTTTTTGACCCCCAGATGGCCTATGTTAGGTAAACTTCAGGTTAGCCTATCTGAAACTTGTTTATTGTAGATTTAGAAAAGTTTAATAGATAAAACCTGTGTGAGAGACTGTGTATTGCGAAAAATCTGCTAGAATCAAAATATGGCAATAATAGGTATATTGTGGGCATAAAGTGGTCACCAGTGTTCAGTTTGAAAATTTACATAAAAATTTAGTTTTCTTGCAAAAATGACTCTGGTATTTATTGGGTTAGAAGTCAAGTTCATGTGATATTTGGTCATGATATCTGTACTTCGAAACCAAAAATCATTCATATGAGGCTGGTGGCAGCACATCACACCATATCCACCTTCTAATTCTAAGCATTTAAAGCAATATGTGTATAACTGAAAAAAACAAATATCCATACAAAATATGTTTAAATTGTTAAGGGGGTTTTCTATGTGTTATAATGTAGTTTTCATGCAATATGTATTAGGTCTGATGATGGTTGATAATTTATTGTAGGTATGGTTAGATGGTGCCATGATGGTATTATGTAGTATGGGATTAGGTACTGGTGGTATTATAAATTTATCTGGTTATTGTCATTTTCATAGTGGTTGTTTCAGGTTAGTTTACATCAATTGTCGTATTATTGAATGTACAATATTCTAGGATAGATCTAGAGAAGATACCACCATCCTTGTTCTTAGAGCTGAATTTCAAGCTCCTGGTCTTCAGGAACCAGTACTGAAAGACAGTAATGTATTATAAATCCATGGAATTTTTAACTAGGAGGTTCTCATTATTTCACATTGTATTTTGAATTATTGTTTCTGAAAATTGATGTTATGGTGTTTATAATCTTCAGAACTATATGTTATGACTCTCTTGAAAAGTCTTTGAATACAGAATTCCAAATTTTGCATAAATTAATGTGTTTTAGTAGAAATGTGTTCTAATGTTCCCAATCATACTCTTTTTAAAGTACTATTATATTAACTGATCAGAATTCTCTGTTCAAAAACATTTTTGTATCAAATAATTTTGTGTTGATAGGAATGCTATGATAACTGGTTTATTTAGTGTAGCAGGCTGTACATTAGCTGGTTGTTGTATGTTTTCTATATTTGGAGTTTATACATATACAACACAAATACCACTACATTCATTGAACATATCAGGTGAGCAAAATGAATCAATAGAATTGGTTTTTGGAAGCTCTAGTCTCTACACTGATAATATAGATCAGATACTCCTTTAATAACACAAGCAAGGTAGAAAATGTGCATGTGACATGAATAGACTGAAACAATTTACAAATTCATTAAGGGATACGACTAGTTCTCTTTTTCTTAGACGTTTCTGTAAAGACATGGATTTACCAGTTTTAATTTTGAAAGACATCTATACAGTAGTCTGAAACTGTTGGATTTAACTTTGCCCACATCTCTGCAAAATGGCCCTGTTACTTGGTAGTCTCTTAATGATGAACCAACTGTTACTGAGTGGTCTCTTAAAGATTAACTAACTAACTGATACCAATAGAGTGGTGTTGGACTTACAACTTAGCTGTTACTGGGTAGTCCCTTAATGATGAACCAACTGTTAACGCAGAAAGTTTTTTATGAAGAACGGCCCTGTTACTGAGTGGTCTCTTAAAGATTAACTAACTAATTGATACCAATAGAGTGGTGTTGGACTTAACTTTGCTGTTACTGGGTAGTTCCTTAATGATGAACCAACTGTTAACATAGAAGGTTTTGATGAAGGATATTCCTGTTACTGGGTAGTCTTTAAAAGAGATTCAGTTTCCCTTAAATTTACAGTTTCAAGACCTGCATTATATTTCATAATTAAAAACTATTGCTGTTAGTTCATATTAAATAAATTGTTGATTATCTTATTTCAGAAACAGAGTTTGCTTTTCAAATATTTCCAGCAATCAGCCATTATTTACAACACTCACCAGTGTGGTCGGCCATGTTCTACCTCCTGTTATATATAAGTTGTTTTGGTACCCAGATAGTATATATAAATACAATACATACAGGCTTTCTATATAAACTTGGTGTACATACAACTGTATGGAAATTATCCAGTCTTATCTTCTTTATTTCATTATTTTATATATGCGGTTTAACCACAATTACACAGGTAGGATTTCTTATTTACTTATATTTTCAAACCTTTAAGTCCCAATAACTTTTATAGCAACAGTTTTACATTGTTTAATGTTGACTGTTTAACAATGGTTCATGTGGTAACAATCATAAGGCCTACCCAGTACCCATGCAGTTAGAAATTGACATTGTCAAAATAAATCTCCAATAATTTTGTTATATTACAAATCAGCTGGGCAGGTGTCTCAAATTGTGCATAGGTAACAGGGCACAGGTGAAAAACACACAATTGCGAAAATATGAAAAAATTACACAGTTCTGAAATATGCACAAAAATCAATTCTGCAAAACAAATTGATAGTTGTAATTTCTGCAAAACAATTTTTTTATACATATTGAAAAACATAGGTTCAGGGACAACATGTCTTATTATTTGGCATATCATATGCCAATCATAAATCACAAAACATCTCCTTTAATTTTCTGTTGGTTATTCAAATTTTATACCCTGATGACTTAGTTGGAGAATCAACCTGATTTTAACCATCTGAAACTCTGAAATAACTTGAAAAATGTACAGTTACATTTATACAATTACATTTTCTAGTTACAGAAGAATCATGTAGATTGCTTTTAGAAGAAACTTGGGGAACTAATGTAACAATTTGTGAATTGTAATGATTACCGATGTATGATATTTGATTATTTCTGTGTGTTTCAGGCAGGAATGTATGTTATGACATATCTAAATGAGTTTGTACATAAATTAGCTATACCTATATTTTGTTTAATGGAATGTGTATTTACTACCTGGTTATATGGTGCTCAGAGATTCTATAATAAAGTAGCAGATATGACTGGATCATCTGATAGCCCTTTTATAAAATGGATATGGAAAGCTGTGTGTCCTCTTTCTTTAGTTGTAAGTAGTTTTTTACTACCGGTACCTTTCTTTTCCAGTTATTGTATCAATGGCCTATTATATTTAGCATTCTGCTAAGGGGGCTTGTTCTTAAACTTAATCTACCACTTCCCTAATTTCAAACATGGCCAAAGTGTGGTGCTTGTTTTAGAACTAAGTTTTATTTGCTCAATGATTTGTAAGCATTTATGCAGCAGTAATTAGAAGTGGGAGGAAATTAGAGCACCCAGAGAAACCCCATAAGATTAGGCAATCTTGCTCTTTGTCATCTTCAGCATGCAATTAGACCTCTTGACCACCCAACCCTCTTCTGGAATTTTCAAGACACAAGTTACAGTATGAAAACTATATATCAGCCCATTTGAACAACATACATTTTGAAAGGAAATTTATGTTGGTACCAGGTAATCTAGATCCAATAAATGGTCTAACCCCAATTGTTTAAAATAGGTCAGTCTAACATTTATAGGTAAGAAAAAGCTACAGTCATTTATAAACATTGATCTCTTGAAGAGTAGGAAGATGTTGACGAACTTGGTTCTGGTTCAATCTTTTCTAATCTGTAACATTTAAAAATTATGAAATGAAATGGGGTTTAACGTTCTACTGTTCTGCTCCGAACTGGGCTAATGAAGACGTGCATGCGCCATACAGTGTGCTATGGCCATACAGTGTGCTATGAGGGAAATTTTGCCAGGACAGCGGCACTACAGCCTACTCTTATATAGAATTCTGTCAAGGGATCTTTTACGTGCACGCCAGTGTGTACACGGGACCTTGGTTTTTCGTCTTACCCACTTAGCCACCATGACCCTCACTCAAAAATTATGATTAAATAATTTGTTTTCATGTTATTTCAGGCAATATTAGCATTAACAATAGTCTGTGATAATTGTATATTGTGTAAAGCAGAAGTTGGTGGTAAAGCCTGGATGGAACCAGTTGGTTGGTTTATTTCTGCTCTACCAGTATTTGTCTGTTTTATTCCTAGTTCTGTCAATCTCATTACATTCCATGGATCATCAAAACAAGTAAGTATTAAGATATAAATGTAGTAGGGATGTGTGATCAGGGCTGGATTAACCAGTAAGCAAATGAGGAACCTGCTTAGGGCACCACAGAATTTCTACTTGGTTAGATGACAAATTCAAAATGTTTAATTTGAAAATTATTATTTTATTCGATTTTTATTCTTTTTTTATCTTTTTTATCTTTATCTCAATATATAATGACAGGTATAAACCTCTTAGCAGGTGCTTGACAGATTGGTTATGTTTTATTATTGTTTACATTTTGAATCGTATTGTGGCACTAAAATCTTCTAAGTGCTTAGGGCCTCTGTAAGTGTTAATCGGCACTGTGTGTGGTGTACTGTTTGACTGTTCGTATAACTGGGGACACCTAGATTATTTTGTCCCGTGATGTCTCGAGTTCATATATTTCCCCAACATTGCATAAGTTATGATGGGTTAGGTGTTACATGAAACGTGTTACAAGAAATGTTAATGTTAGCACATTATAACCATATTGTGAAAGCCAAGTAAAAATTAAATAGCTTTAGTTAGACAGTAATCAGAAGGGTTGAAAACATGTATTAATGAAATACAAAGATAGAGCATAAGTTCTTATTTCTATAAAACAGTGAAAAACCTGTGTCAGCACTGTTAGATTGCTATTAAAAAAACATTTAAAAACATAATTGATAAAGTACTAACATTAAATGGTATGACAATACTGGACTAGACCTTATATCAACCGTAAAGATTTGTCTCATATAGTGATATAGAAATTTGTTTTTAGTCATTTCCTTAACATTCATAAGATCTGTCATTGGGTCAAGTTTTGATTTCCAGCTTGTATGTGACAAGAATTAGTGTCGCCAGTCCAACCTCATGTGTTTACTCCAGGTCCTCTGCTTTTCTCCCCATTTCTCTGTTGTATCAGCATAAGGTGACCCCCCCCCCCCCATATATATATCAGCTATGTCATTACCACAACAACAGCGAAATAAGCTTCACATGTTACATTAATTACCACCTGTTGTTCAGGTATGTCAGGTCACAGCTATTTCATGCCATATTAAAGATCATAGGTCAGTAGTAAATATTTTATTTTAGCATCATTTGACACTCTCTCCCTCTCTATTTACTGATGAATGAAGCTTTATCCATCTCATTAACATTAACAACAAAACATTACAAATTTCTACAAACAAAAACAAAGTATGTGATTTAAATATAAAATAAAGTAGATGTTATTGTATAATACATAAATCATGTTTTTATTAGGCGTATGCAATAGACCATACTTGATTTATAAACTAAACCAGTCATCTTCATCTTCATCATTCTTCACAGGTAGATTAAATATTGATGATCACATGTTGGTACTCATTCTTAAAAAATATCATGATAGTATATTATTAGAATATAGCGAATTCAGTAATGTTAAAATAGACATATTTAAGCTATTTTTTTAAAATGACAAATTAGGTGGATTATGAACGTAAAGTCATAGTCTGTAAATAACTGTCTTGATTTCAAAAGTACTCTTGATATCTAATTTAAAGTAGCTACAAGAATAATGCACTAGGAAGGATATGCTTAATCTTTCTATAACACCTAATGTCACTTTGTCTTTAATCTTTTTATAACATCTGATGCCAATTAGAGTGTAATGACTAGATCTGTTGGTTTTGTGAAAAAAAATAGAATTGTCAATTTAATTAATTTTCGGGTCTGCAGATAGAGCTGATGTTTAGATACATCTGATTTTGTGGTTATCTTTTGACATTTTAAGCAAAATTTGAAACTCAAATAGGTTAACAGACCAACATGAACGTTATCTGCTGAAATGAACATTTAATCAAACATTTAAACCAGTAATAATAGAATTAGCACATCTTATCATCCTAATTCAACACATTTCATGGGAAGATATTATTGTCACCACTGCCCATCTATCGATGCATCCACAATTTTTATTATTACACTGCCCCTGTAACTAAAATCTAATGAAAGCTTTTGAGATCTTTTTTTTCATACTTGCTGGAATTGTTTAGTTAGATAGTCCTAATGACAAACAAAAATCAGTTCAGAGTTATTGCCCCTGTCACCCAAACTTTATAAATGCTCTAGAGGATAGAGAGGTTTTCTTTCTCGGATTGTTTCGAGGGACTATGTCGAAATTCACACTTTCCAAACAATTTTTATGCATTGTCATTGTTTAGTGAGTATAGCGATGCCCATTAAGTTGGAGGTCCCAGTTTCGATTCCAGAGTTTACACAATTTTCCAGTCTAGTTTCAGTTGTCAGTGGTACAAAACGGAGGGACTAGCAGGTAAAAATGTCTAGTCATAGGTCCCATGTACATAAAGAACCCTTGGCATTTGTAATTCAAGGATGAGTAAACAGAAACGCAGCTCTCAGGGAAAAATTTGCCTCATTTGTCTTTATTAGCTAGGTTGGTGCAGCAAATTTCATTTCATTTATACATAGTTATTGTCTTTGAAAACATGAAGATCATTCATTAAAATGCATTGCCTGGCAACCCTGTTTACATCAAAGAAATAAAATAAGGTTTATTTAATGTCCTACTTTTCTACACAAACCTAGCTAATGAAGATGGGCATACACTGTGCTGTGCTATGAGGCAATTTTGTGCCGAACTCATACTGTCAAAGCTTCTTTTACGTGCACTTCATTGTGTACACAGGAACTTGATTTTCCATCACGTCCGACCATAAATCAAAGAGATTTTCTTTTAATACTTCTGTAATACATTATACACTTTGCTTCACATTTAATACAAATGTATGTGTGGCCTTTTTCTCTATTTTTGTAGCATCATTGATGCACGATAGTTTTTTACATAAAATAAACACAATTATTTGACTAAATGGTATTTTCTTCATTTTAAGATATTTTCTTTATTCATATGACAATGATATATTATTGCAGTAAAAGAAAAAAAATGAAATGCATTAATTTTATAAATGATTTCATGAACAAGCAAAAAAAATCTTAAAAGTTAAATATATAAGCATAACTTTTATGTTTGACACACCTATAAAATTAGCTATTTTTGCTTGTTATGACATGATCAAGCATCCTTAAAGCAACACAAGTAGTTTCTCAAAACTTGTTAATGTTCCCGCAAAGTACTCTACGATATTATATATGATCATTAGATTTAATAATAGATAAAAAAAACTTCAGGGATTACATCTGCTTTAATAGTATAGAAAGCAAAATCGTGTGAGTATATATTATGTTAGTCTGCTCATTTAATCGATTATGCTAAATAAAATTTGTGAGTTTTTAGAGGATGTTCTGAAGAAGTAAGTTCTGTATATTTGACTGACTTTTGTTTAATTTGGTTGAACATATAATAATATTATGTCTGTTCAGAAATGATTAAGTTGTTTACTAAATTGCAAATGTCGCTACACAGACATTGTTGATGACAGAATACATTTCTGATTTGTTTTGCTACAGGAATGTTCTATTTCATCGTAGCAGGCAGTGGCATGAGCAAGACAGACTATTTTATTATTGGAATATTCCTGTGATATGACACTCCAAATTTAGGGATTTTCCCCTTTTTATACGCCCACATTTTCATGTGGACGTATTATGCCGTCGCCCCTGTCCGTCCGTCCGTCCGTCCGTCCATAATTGTTTGTGGACTCTCTACAGGTCACAATTCTTATCCGATTTCGACGAAACTTGAAATATAGGTTTATCCCCAAAATATCTCGGCTGCTTTCGATATTGGCATGTATCGGATCGAAACTTCATGGATTATGGACCCTGTTTGTACGAAAAAATCACGCTTTTAGCTTGTGGACCCTAGAGGTCACAATTTTGATCCGATTTTGTTGAAACTTGAAATGTAAGTTTATTAACCCAAAGATCTCAGTTCCTTTCGATATTTGTGCATATCGGACAGTAACTTCCTGAATTATGGCCCCTGATTGTACGAAAAATCACGTTTTTAGCTTGTGGACCCTATAGAAGTCATAATTTTTATCCGATTTAAAAAACCGTTCTATTATATCACCGTTACACCATAACTTTGATTAGCATAAAGAAATTTTTAATATATTAATTTTTATACGCACACATTTTCATGTGGACGTATTATGCCGTCGCCCCTGTCCATCCGGACGTCCACAATTGTTTGTGGACTCTCTACAGGTCACAATTCTTATCCGATTTCGACGAAACTTGAAATATAGGTTTATCCCCAAAATATCTCGGCTGCTTTCGATATTGGCATGTATCGGATCGAAACTTCATGGATTATGGACCCTGTTTGTACGAAAAAATCACGCTTTTAGCTTGTGGACCATAGAGGTCACAATTTTGATCCGATTTTGTTGAAACTTGAAATGTAAGTTTATTAACCCAAAGATCTCAGTTCCTTTCGATATTCGTGCATATCGGACCGTAACTTCCTGAATTATGGCCCCTGATTGTTCGAAAAATCACGTTTTTAGCTTGTGGACCCTATAGAAGTCATAATTTTTACCCGATTTAAAAAAACGTATTATTATATCACTGTTACACCCTAGGGACGACTGAATTCGAATTTCGTGAAAATCGGCCCAAAATTGACAGAAAAAATGGCCGCCGTTCGTTCTCAAATAGCGTAAGAAAATGGTATATCAAGGTTGTGGACCCTATATAGGTCACAATTTTTATCCGATTTTGTTGAAACTTGAAATGTAAGTCTATAACCCAAAGATCTCGGTTCCTTTTGATATTTGCGCATATCGGACCGTAATTTCCTGAATTATGGCCCCTGATTGTACGAAAAATCGCGTTTTTAATTTTTATCCGATTTAAAAAAACGTATTATTATATTACCGTTCCACCCTAAGGACAGTTGAGTTTGAATTTTGTGAAAATCGCCCCAAAATTGACAGACAAAATGGCCGTCGTTCGTTCTCAAATAGCGTAAAAATATGGTATATCAAGGTTGTGGACCCTATAGAGGTCACAATTTTTATCCGATTTTGTTGAAACTTGAAATGTAAGTTTATAACACAAAGATCTCAGTTCCTTTCGATATATGCGCATATCGAATTGTAATTTCCTGAATTATGGCCCTTGATTGTAGGAAAAATCACTTTCTTGTTAGCTTGTTCTCTATCCATCTCTCGAAAATGTGGGCGTATCCTGCCTGGCAGCCGCTGGTCATACTTCATGGGAGAAGGTGTGGATTGTGGAGTGAGTCA